AAACACTTGACACTTACTAGCTGTGTGACCCTGGGCAAGTCATTTAACCCCAATTGCCTAAAAGCAAAAAAAAAAAAAAGAATTGCAAACTTTTAACAGCCGTGTGAAAAAAAAGCTTCAAATCACTAATAATAAGAGAAACTAACCAAAACGTGTAAAGTTTCATCTCATACCAGCAAATTGGCAAAAATGACAGAAAATGAGAATTGTTAATATTGTAGAGGCTATTGGAAGATATATATATTAGTGCATTGTTGGTGGAACTGTCAGTTTTGGAAAAATACTTTGGATTTATGCTAATGAGTAAAATACACATTAGTACATTGTTGGAGCTGTGAATTAGTACAACCATTCTGGAAAGCAATTTATAAAGTTGCTAAAATGTCCATATTCTTTGAAAGAGTTTCTGCTACTAGGCTTGTTTGTCCTTCATTTTTGAAGAGGACCAGTGACATGCTGGGATGACATCTTGACTTGCATGTGAATTGGATTTAAGTGAGGCAAAGTTGAACAAAATTGTCAGCCCCACTCTGTCTTCTAGAGTCATTAGAAGTCCAATGACAAGACAAAAAGTCAGGGCAACTAGGCTTACAGCCCCATAGAAGTCATTAATAAAAAGGAAGTCCCCATGATACCAGAATATTTATAGCAGCACTTTTTGTGATAGCAAAGAATTAGGGGTGGTGATGTAGATGCCTATACATTGGGGATGGTTAAACAAATTGTCGCACATGAATAATGGAATATTACTGTGAACGTTAATGATAAGTATGATGAATACAAAGAAGCATGGAAAGATTTATGCAGTCTGATGCAGAGTGAAGTAGGTAGAGCCAACAAAACAACATATACAATGACCACTACAATGTGCATGGGAACACAACCGCCCAAAAAATCAGTAGTAAATGTTACAAAACTGCAAAGAACAAGCATGGCCCTAAAGAAGAGAAATGAGAAGACACCTAGAAGTTCATGGGTGTGGAATATTGTGTATAATATAGAAGTTCTGCTTTGTTCCCATACCACACAATTTTACAAAGGGCCTTCTTTTTAATAAAGGTGATTACTCTTAAAACAACTTAATATACTGTATGTAGCTTCCTATTTTTTGATACAAGTAAATGTGAATCATGTGATGTGTCCATATTGCATCAGGAGCCCCATCTTTAGTGAAGTGTTTTCATATCAGCATCGATTAGAGCTAGAATGGACCTTAAGGTTCATCTGTCATATCCAATTCCTTCTTTTTACAGATGGAAAAACTGAGGCCAGGAAACATTAAGTGACTTGTCCTTAGCCACACAGTTATTAAATTTCTAAAATAGGATTCAAACTCATGTCTTCCTGACTCCAAGTCCATTGTTCTATCCATGTTGCCACCTTTTGTCCTGACATCAATGGAGTTCTGTCATTAGAAAGACCAATATAAACCTTCCATATAATATCCATCAATTACTCTGAAATTTTCTTTGGATTTGTCATTGCCATCTGTAAGTTTGCAAAATAATAACAAATTTTGTCTGGCATTAGTTTCAACAACATGTCTTGCATATGTAATCAAATGAACATCTTTAACTTTCATCTGTTGCATCATCTACTTGCAGTGTAAAAGAGGATTTTAGTGCCTTAATCACAAAAGGTTTTCAGACATGTAAACATTTCTTTTCCAACCATATTCTCTACAAGTGGAACTATCCGAAGTTTCTTTACATATGATTTACCAAGCATTGTTTTATTTGCATCAGTAGCTGCACTTAGGGCCAATATTTCTCCTATTGGAAGGGGTTTTTTACACTTTGCAACCATATTAGCAACCTTATTTAAGTAATTCTTTTGAAGTCACATTGTTTTAAAAAAGTTTCTATTTGCTTATTAAGATAATGTACTTCTTGCTGTAAAAATTTTCCTGCCTTATTTATTCTACATATATACTTCTAGGGTAATAATTTATTAAGTTTTATGTTCTTTGGTATGTAAGCATTCATATAAAGCAAATAGTAGTCATTCCCTCCAACAATGAGTATTTGTGAATACCAATAATAAATATAGTAGGTCATCTTTTTAAAAATTTTTTGCTTTTTATTTTTTGCTTGTCTATTTCCTCATACTTGCTTTGGCTTCTCCAATAGATTTTCTTTTCAAACCCATTATGTGTATTTAACAGGGATAATGTTTCACTTCAAAAAACAGAGACAAAAAAGTAAGAAAATTTAAATTAAACTGTTGAAAATCTCAAGCTGTTATTTACAATTATTCTCAAGTTAAGTGTTTTTTTAAGTTGCGGGGGTGGGGTTTTTGTTTTTATGTTTTTTCCCCAATTGAGGCCAGCTTTTATATTGTTCTTACCAAAATAAATGATGTTGGTAAGTCACAACATGGCTTAATGTCATTCTGGAAGGAAATTCACACAGCTGTGCTTTTCTCTGGGCTGGTGACTGTAGCTATATACCTAGTTGCCTTCATACCTCTTTTCCCATTTTCCTTTCTCTGTTAACACAGTCTTACTCAGGACTGACTAAACAGTTAAGTTGATGTCCTCTGGAAACAGTTATTTATCAACTCTACTCCTACACTGGGTACTTTTTTCAGTTGCCGTTGGTTTCAGTGCTATTATTTCTCAACTGGGGACCCAAAACTTGATAAAGATTGGAAACAGTAGAGAGTTAGCTGCCCCAGTCTCTAGCAAAAGGATTCTACACATTTTTTCCTCTCCTTTCATCAAAAATACACTCTTCAGTGCCTCAGACACAGGCCAGGATCTTGCATCTTCACTTGGGCTATCAAAGCAGTGTGTTTTTAGCTTCCTGGGAAGGGTAAATGGGAAATGAGATCATATTTGCAAGTGTTTTTCCTTTCCCTCTCCAACTACATCTGATACCTATCTGCCTGTTATTTATTGGAAAAGGTACTGGATTGGCTGTCTGGAGGCCTGGGTTCATTTCCTAGTTCAGACACTAACTATGGATATAACCGTCTTCTCAGAGTTCATCCTCATTTTACACATGAGGCGGTTTAAAGCCCTTTCAGCCCGTAAAATTCAATGATCCTTCCTTCTTTCCTTTCCCACTTTCCCTAAACCTTTTCTGTCCCTTATATCTGAAATGTACTTCTTTTTACCTTTACGTCTTAGAATCCTTAGCTTCCTTCAAAACAGTCCTTTTCTTTTTCCTTTTCCTCCTTATCTCCCCAGGCACATAATAAATGCTTAATGAATGAATGTTTTCTGTCAATTTTTCCCCTCTTCTCATTTACCTCTCTCGTGCTTCCTTCCTTTACTCTCCTTCCCCTTCTCATCTTCATTTTTCCTTTTTTTAAATTTCAGCAAATATTTTATACTCATTTGCTCACTTTCCTAAATACTGTCTTCTTGTATACACTTAACATCTCTTACCTTCTATTTGTACTAATACTCCCATTCTAGTTATCATGTATTTTCTGTTCCTCAAGTTTCTGAGCTTACCTACTGCAGTCTCTTTATCTTCTCTCCTATTCTCCCAAGCTAGACATTCTGTTCTCCCACTGGGACAACCAACTGGGACAAAAAAAAAAAGTCTAGTAGAAAGGTCATTTTTGTCAGAGGGGAGATTGAACAGTTGGGTAAGAGGCATCTTGGTTAAATTTCTTCTCAATTTTTGTTTTAATTGTAGTGTTAATTTTGTTTTTCATTGACTTTTAAAGTACAAATTTATTGTCTTCAAATTTGTCATTAATTTGTATGGAAAGGTCGTGTGTAGCTAAACTTGATAACCTGAATTCTTAATGAATATTGTCAGTAATATTATCTTAGTTTGGTTTTCAAAACAAAGCCAGCAATATATGACTTTGTTTTATTGCAGAGAGAAATTAAAGTGAAAAGTGCCAAATGTACAATCATTCCCTCTGCTTTAGGGAATCAAAGTAATTCTGATTTGCAAATCAGAGTATTCTCCTTACAAAAAGCTTCTTAATCTTATAAGTATGAAACAAAGGATTTCTTTAACTATAGTATACCTCTAATCAATCATTTAAGCATTTATTCAGAGCATATGATAATAATAATAACACACTGAGTTCTTTAAGGTTCACAAATGGCTTTCCACATAGCAACCTTATGAAATAGTGAAACAGAGTGATAACTGAGCCTCGAAGTGGTGTCAAGTGACTTGTCACAGTTAAGTGTCAGTATGAGAGTTAGAACACAGTTTTCTTGACACCAGATACCTTGGCTATGTTGGATGTTGTGAGTTAGTCAAAAAGAACAGTCTTTAAAATCATAGTGTTTATAATCTAGTTGGAGAAACAATTTTGCATATAAGACAATTAGAAAATAATATAGAAGCAATAAATGTTGAATAGTGTTATGCTTTAGAGATTTACTTGACTGACCATCTAAGAGTAGAAGACTGGGAATAGCCATTGCCAACTGAAAATCAGTCAGTAATTGATATAGAGCACCTTCCATATTATAATGTCAGATAGGAAGAAAAATAGGATTTGGTTTACAATCAGCTTTTAAAGTCCAGATTTCTTGTGTAATGTGAGCCTATACTGGTGTTTGTAATGATTGTTCTGGAGTGGTTTTAACTTTTTCAGCCATTGTATTTTTTTCCCTCTGAGTTTCCTGAATATCAAGTTAAAATGTTAGCTTTGTTTACTTCATGTGAATTTTAGAGCCTGAGAACCAGAATCATAGTTTTTAGGAACAAAATTAAAAACAAAAGGCAAGGGAATGTGGTGCAGTGCAGAGAATACCAGATGTGGAATTGGAGGACCTGGGTGTATATCCTAGTTCTACCGTTTACTGGCTGGCGTTTTGACAAGTGTCATTTCGGGACCTCAGTTTCCCAATGTATAAAATGAGGGGATTGAATCAGTTTATCTCCAAGCTCCCTGTAAACTTTAAACATATGATTCTATTAAATTAACCTACAAAGGGTAGAAGTTTTTTTTTAATAATGGAAAACAAATACTTTAGCATGCAGTGTTTTCATCTAATTATTTAATTTCTAACTTCTCTCTAGCCATTCCACCCTATGGTGAATCTGGATTGTTCCCGAGATTTCCGTCCTTTTCTCTGTGCACTGTATGCACCTATATGTATGGAATATGGACGTGTCACACTACCCTGTCGTAGGCTATGTCAACGGGCATACAGTGAATGTTCCAAACTCATGGAAATGTTTGGTGTTCCTTGGCCAGAAGATATGGAATGTAGTAGGTGAGAAAATCACTTAAATTTGCATTGGTTGTTTTTTATCATGTGAATGGAAAAAATAGTGTTTATTAATTTAGAGCGATAATTCCATTTCTAAAGACCTAAATAGTTTCTTGGAGTTTTAAAACATTAAATGGATTCAAGCTTGGAAGTGCAACTTTCTTTGTATTAAGAACTCATTGAAAGCAAACACCTAAGCAAAATTACATTTTAAAAAACCCACAAAAGCGTATACAAAAGTAAAACCCAACTTAAACATATATAAAGAGAAAGACATAGGAAATATTCCACTCATTTGTTTCTGCTGTTAAGAATAGACTATGGAATGCTATGTAATAAATATAATACAATAAAATATACATTAATTAATATTATGTCTAATTAAAGGAGAGAGTTGGGTGAAGAGAGGGGATGGCATAATCAAAAAGCATAGAGTGAAAAGCAAAACAAAAACATAGGCAGATAATTTGGGAAAGACACTGATAGAGAATCTGTAGACTGGAGGGAAAACTGAGTTGTTGGATCACCTAGATGATATTAGCATATAATTTTTTTTTCTCTTTCTACTTTGCCATGAGATAGGGAAAGATATAAAGAAGTCAAGGGAATTAGAGGGACCGTCTTGCTGATCAGGAAGCTGGAGAAGACTTTCCTTTTCATTAGTTAATAACCTAAATCGAATAAGGCTGATCAAAAGCTGTAGGGAAGCCACTGGAAAGGGCTTTTGGTGCAAAGGTTTCTTAAAGCATGAATGCATATATTGTGAAGGTTTTCATAAATTCAGAATGACTTAGTCTGGGGAATGAGTTATTCCTCAAGGACAAATCAGGGTTAAATTAAGTAGTGACTCTGAATAGTTAATAAATCAAGTACTTAATTCTATATGGGTACTTGTATTTCTTTAAATCTTATTCCAAATAATAGGAATATCTTACTTGTATGTATAGTGCTTGACAGTTTTCAACGTGTTTTTACATTACTTTCCTTGCTCTTATATTTTGTCCTTTCTAAGTATTTTTATGCCAATTAATGATTTTATCTTAGCCATTTTAATAACGAAATTTACTTTTATAGGAAAAACAAACTGACTGAAAAAGCATATTATTCTCCTTGATATAGTTAATCACAACTATGGGAAATGTGGCTATTTTGGGAAAAGGCATATTTGATTTAATTGTAAACAGGGTACCTAATGAAGAAATGAACAGTCTTGTGCAAACCTAGACCTATAGCATGACCTAAGATAGTAAAGGTACTTTTTTTTTAAACTTCTTAGGTTCCCAGATTGTGATGAACCCTACCCTCGCCTGGTAGATCTGAATTTAGCTGGAGAGCCAACTGAAGGAGCCCCCGTGGCAGTTCAAAGAGACTATGGTTTCTGGTGTCCCCGAGAGTTGAAAATTGATCCTGATCTGGGCTATTCTTTTCTTCATGTTCGTGATTGTTCACCTCCTTGTCCAAATATGTACTTTAGACGAGAAGAACTTTCATTTGCTCGATATTTTATAGGATTGATTTCCATCATTTGCCTCTCTGCCACATTGTTTACTTTTTTAACTTTTTTAATTGATGTTACAAGATTCCGCTATCCTGAAAGGCCTATTATATTTTATGCTGTCTGCTACATGATGGTGTCATTAATTTTCTTCATTGGGTTTTTGCTTGAGGACCGAGTAGCCTGCAATGCATCTAGCCCTGCGCAGTACAAGGCTTCCACAGTGACGCAAGGGTCTCATAATAAAGCCTGCACTATGCTTTTCATGGTGCTCTATTTCTTTACCATGGCTGGCAGTGTCTGGTGGGTCATACTTACCATCACATGGTTTTTGGCAGCCGTGCCAAAGTGGGGGAGTGAAGCTATTGAGAAGAAAGCATTACTTTTTCATGCCAGTGCATGGGGCATTCCTGGAACTCTCACTATCATCCTTTTAGCTATGAATAAAATTGAAGGTGACAATATCAGTGGCGTATGTTTTGTCGGCCTCTACGATGTTGATGCATTGAGATATTTTGTTCTGGCTCCCCTCTGCCTGTATGTGGTAGTTGGAGTTTCTCTTCTATTAGCTGGTATCATATCCTTAAACAGGGTTCGCATCGAGATTCCCTTAGAAAAGGAAAATCAAGACAAGTTGGTGAAGTTCATGATCCGGATTGGTGTGTTCAGTATTCTGTATCTTGTACCACTGTTGGTTGTAATTGGATGCTATTTTTATGAGCAAGCCTACCGTGGCATATGGGAAACAACATGGATACAAGAACGCTGCAGAGAATATCATATTCCATGTCCCTATCAGGTAAGGAAACACATTATATATTTCAGTATTTGTAGCACTGAGAGCAGAGGGATTACCACAGTGATTTAACTGTTAAACCGTTTTAAACATTTAACCAAGAATGTTATGCTTTAAAGTATTTATGAACTTGGGATTTTATAATCACTAAACTTTAAAAGGACAAAATGAAATAGGTATATTAAATGTATAATGCAAATGCCCCAGCTTAGGATGGAAGCCAGGTTACATCAGATTATTAGTGACTTGGAGCATTTTTTTGTTTATATGGTTGTTGATAGTTTAGATTTCTTGATTTCTTTGTACCTATTCCTAGTCTGTGACCAGATATCTGTTTGGGAATGGTTTTTTTATATATAAATTGGAGTCTGTGCCTTATATGTCTTAGAAATGGGAACTTTATCAAGGAAACTTGATGGAAAGAATTTTTTCCCCAGTTACCAGTTTCCCTTCTAATTTCAATGGAACTAGTTTTGTTTTTGCAAAAACTTTTTAAATTTTATAAATCCAGATTGTCCATTTTACCTTCAGTAATCCTCTCTATCTCTTGTTTGGTCACAAACTATTCCCCTATCCATAGATCTGAAAGGTAATTTCTTCCTTGATTTGCTAATTGGTTTATGATGTCATCTTTTATGTTTCATCGTATCTATTTAGAATTTATTTTGGTATATTATTTGAGGTGTTGGTCTATACCTAATTTCTGCTAGACTTCTTTCTAGTCTTTCCAATTGTTTTTGATGAATAGAGAGTTAGCACCCTCGTGCTAGGTAGGATCTTTGGCTTTATCAAATAGTAAGCATCTTGATTTGTTTGCTTTTATAATGTTGTATGCCTAATCTGTTCCACTGATCAACCTGTTTTTTAATTTATACTAAAAAAGGTTGATAATTACCTCTTTGTGGTATAGTTTGAGATCTGGAACTGCTAGACCTCCTTCTTTCTCATTTTTTTTCATTATATCTTTGAGATTCTTGACCTTTTGTTTCTCCAGATTAATTTTATTATTTTTCCTAGCTCTGTAAAGCTAGAACTTTAGTAGTTTGAAAAGAATATTCTGTTATATTAATATAACTCTAATGTATGTCTTAGTGGACAAAATCCCAAGTATTTTATATATTCTACAGTTATTTTGAGTGGAATTTCTCTCCTGGGTTTTGTTAGTAATATACAGAAACACTGATGATTCGTGTCAGTTTTTTTTTCTATTGTGCAATTTAGCTAAACATATTGTTTCATTTAATTTTTAGTTGATTCATCTTTGGCCTGTCCAATATAACCTTTAGAAACATAGCAAAAATTATGATACTGCCCAAGTTTATCTATTGATTTAACTCTGTGCCAAATTACTTTATAATGGATAGCTTTTATATAAAATAATGCAAAATTTATAAAGAGGGAACAAAAAGGCAAGATATTAAGGAAAATAATAAGAGGAAAGTGGGATAATAAAGATTTGATGCTACAAGTCTCAAAATTATAATACAGGCACTGAGCCCTGAGTGGGAGCAGCAAGGTGGGTGTGTGTGTGTATGTGTGTGAGAGAGAGACAGACAAGCAGACAATCTGAGCAAACTCCACCAGTCTGCCTTTCTTCTAGCCAGAACCATAAACCATGTTAGACAGGTTGGTTTGAGGAGAAGCCAGGAGCCAGGCCAAAGATAATATCAGGAAAGTGCACAAATGGGAGAAGAAATGGGTGACTGTAGGTGAAATGTTTCTACAAATACATATGTGTCCCCATTAAAGAACTGAAGAAAAACAAGAACAAGAAAAAGGACAAAGGTGAGAAATGCCCCAAATGAATAATATCCCAGGGATAATGGATATACGTGATGAAAATAGCAACCAGAGGTCATAGATCATCAAACAAGCAGAGATTACAGCAGCTCAAGTTCTATGCAGTGCCCAAGCAAAAATAATGTTCGATGAGGTCCAAGCAGATCCAAAGAAGCAACCTGGGTCAGAAGATATCTCTGATGAGCAGAATTTACAGTCCTCTATGGCAAACTCATTGAATAGTTTGGGGAAAAAATGGAAATGCAGCCTTCTAGAAACAACAATGTAACCATGGAAGCTTAAAATAGTTCTAAGGATTCAGAAGGAATGCCACCCTCTGTAAAGATGAAAGTAGAGCCTTCCCAACAAAACATGATTTAGATGGTAAATTAGATTTTCTGATATAATTTTTACCTAAGATACATGTCAAGTAAACAAGCATTTGCTAGTGGGCTTAATTCTAGAATGACCAGACTAATGAATTTTCTCTGAGATAAAAACAAACTTCCTAATTTTCAATTTTACTGAGGAAAAAAAATCAAGGAGACCCAAAAGGGTGTAACTGCTTAGACACTGGAAAAACAAACAAACAAACACTTTTTCCTGTAGAAGCAAATGTCCAGAACTTTTAAGTTACTCCCTATGGAAAGGTTGGTGTCAGGAATTCAGGAGGGCCTAATGTACTATTTCTAATGATAATAAGAGTAATAATAATAATAATAACATCCCACAGGACTCTGTCTTAGGACTTTTTCTCTTCTTCATCTGTTCTCTTTCACTTGGTGAGCTTGTCACCTCCCATGGATTCAGTTATCATCTCTATTAAATATCTCAAACAAGATGTCCTGTAGACATTTTAAACTGAACATGTCCAAAATTGAGCTCATTATCACTCCCTTCTCCCCAAATCCTCCTCTTTTCCTAACCTGTTTATTATTATTAAGGGTGCCACTATCCTTTCAGGCACCCAAGTTCACAACCTAGATGTCACTCCTAACCCTCTTGGAGCCCCCATATCCAATCAGTTGTCAAGTCATGTTGATTCTGTCTTTATGACATCTCTCCTATATGCTTCCTTTTCTCCTCTGATACTCCCAGCACCCTGATGCCGGCAGCTCATACCTGGACCATAGCAAAAACCTCTTCATTGGTCTCCTTGCCTCAGGTCTCTCCCCATTCCATTCCATCCTCCAATTCAGCTCTCAAATTATCCTTACTAAAGCATAGGTCTGACCACGTCATCTGCCCTATTCAGTCACTTCCAGTGGGCACTTATTAACTCCAGGATAAAAAGTAAAATTCTCTGTGTGATATTCAAAACCCTTTATAACCTACTCCACCCCCAACTTCTTACACTTTACCTAACCCAGCCTATTCTTCCATACAGTGACTATGGCCTCATTGCTGTTCCTTGCACAAGACATCCAATCTCTCAGCTCCAGATATTTTCACTGGTTATCTTCCACGCCCGGAATTGTCTCCCTCTTCCTCTCCATCCCTTAGCTTCCATAGCTTCCTTTAAGTCCAGCTAAAATACTACCTCCTACAAGAAGCCTTTCCTAACCGCCCCCCCTTAATGCTAGAGCCTTTCTTCTAAAAGTCTGTTGCTAGGAAGATCACTAATAGGAGATGCAGCTAGAAGTGGACAAAAAGAAATGGGCTTTCCCCTCTGTTGATTTTCTCTAGCTTATCCTGCTGTGGCTTGTTTGTACATAGCTTTTTGCACATTGTCTCTATCAATAGACTGTGAGCTCCTTAAGGTCAAGAACTGTCTTTTGCCTTTTTTTGTATCCCCAGCATGTAGCACAGTGCCTGGCACATAGTAAGTGCTTAATAAGTCTTTACTGATTGATTAACCAACAAGTTATAATAAAAAATTATTGCTTCTCTTGTACAGATTGCCAGTATGCTCACTTCCTGTCCTGACTTGCCACGTGTGGGAGGTGTAGCTCAGTGAGCAAAGATAGAGGTGGCTAAGAGCATGGGGGGTAGTCTGGGCCAGAATATCTAAGCAGGGTGCAAGTAGGCTATATGTTTTCACGTTCTTCACAATGAGAAGTTTGTGGGTCCCTTTCCCCCCTTCTCCCTGAAATTAATAGTTTGGATGACAGAAGTGATGCAGAAGTAGAGATGACTGAGAGTGTCAAAATGTTTCTGATAACCTTTCCAGGGAAATGAAGGATTCCATCTAGGTCATTTGCACCATCTCTAAACTGGATGCTAGGACCCATCAGAAGAGGCGAGAGTAGTATTGAAGAAAGGCAAGCACTATTCTGAGACAAGAGTAGAGCCCAGTGTGAAGAGTATAACCAGGAAAGTGAGCCACAGTCTCTGCTTCAATCAGTAACAGCTCAAATTATTGGAGAATCTTTCTGCATGGAGATTTCTGGTCCTGGCTAGTGTTTCACCTCATCTTTGGTGCTCTCTGGGTACTCTTTCTGTGTTCAGCAAAGCTGTTAATGGCATCTGTTTCCAGGATATTGCCTGGCATTTGAAATGTGGAGGAGGAAGTCTCAATTGTTTTTAAATATCATAAAGATCATCACTGACATGCTTTTCAGCCTGATCCAGGGAATGTTTGTGAGTCTCTTCCCAATCCATCTTGTTGGCCAATTGGTCATTCCCTTGCACATATTGCTTCTCTACTCATTCTTGTTCTGAGTACTACTGGTTCAACAAAGAAATTGAAATGCATCATTGATTATTCAACATTGAATGGAATTGGTCTTACTACTTTGAATTTGATCTGCAATCTTATTACATTATCATCAGCTGCCTTTTCTCTATCCTCTTTCTTCTGTTCATCATCAGCATAAGTGAAATGAAAAGCCCTAGGAAAGTGTACTGCTTCTGGCTGCATCTCTTTTTGGTGATCTTCCTAGCAACAGATTTTCACAAGATGATTTACCTGCAGTCTTCCTGGGTAGCTCAGAGGCTACAGAGAAACTCCCTTTAGCACATTCATCTACTGCCATACTGAAAGCTCCCACCAAGCTATGGCCAAAGAAGTTGAGTTTGGGAACAGGCATTGGTAGTTGGGTTCACCCAAGGAAAGCAGGACTCACTCTGCCAAGGGCTTTCTGCACATTTCCAGTGTTCTTTATAAGGATTTGATATTTTCTTGTTAGAAGTGTAGGGCAGACTCTTTTTGACATTCACATTTAGGTTTTTAATACTATTGCAAATCTAAAATGGCAGGTTTTTCTGCTGCTGTTTTCTAGCTT